GATGATACATAACTTGGAGTATTCAACCTACCTACCTACCTACCTACCTACCTACCTACCCCTACCTACCTACCTACCTACCTACCTACCTACCTACACCTACCTACCTACCTACCTACCTACCTACCTACCTACCCTACCTACCTACCTACCTACCTACCTACCTACCTACCTACCTACCTACCTACCTACCCACCTACCTACCTACCTACCCCTTAAATGATGTCTAAATCCTAGGTGAGTTGATGATACATAACTTGGAGTATCCAAGAGAGGGTTTTCCTTTTTAAAGGAAGCGTTTTGCACACTCCTCACTCGAGGAAGGAGGAAAAAGAGACATATATTTGCAAAGGAGCCTGTAAGTACGATCTCCTCGGTTATGGAGTCGTTCTCAGCTCGAGTGCATGCTGTGTAATTTTCTCCGCAGTATTTTCCTGAGGAGGCACATTCTGACGTCTGGAGCAGGGGAACAGTTAGAGGGAGTGGTGCAATGAACAAGGCCGTGGGAATCCTAAAGGGGGGGGGGGACACTGATTATACTGCCGGTTCCTCATGCTCCTGCACGGCCTCTTTAACCAAACACTCGCCCTCTCTGATGCTCCACAGCTCATTGATAATCCCCGAGACACTAAACGGGTTACTCTCTGCGTCCCTGACAAATGCAAATATCAGAAAAGCTTTTTATGATGGAAAACACCAGCTCCTGTGCGTGTGGAGCAAAACGGTGATTTATTACAGAGACCAGCAGCTGAATAACACTGTGCCTGTCAACGTTAAGATACAAGTGTAACCCTCAAGGTTCTGGTTTTACGTTGGAGCCATCCTGAATAGGAAACTCTGTGTTTATATCAACCTGTCTGCCGTGGACTCTGGTGTGTTTTCACCAGGAAGTGTCAGGTGCAGAGTAAATGCCAGAGGCTTTTATAAAGAGATCCTATTCTGCTTTTTAGTTTTCCCTCATCCTGTAGTGTGTGCTATAGGTTTTAGTGCATGTAAATGGTCCTCTAAGGCTAACATCCCTGTGTTCCTTACAAAGTGAGTTTCTCTCCACACACAATATCCTTATTGACCCGTCAGCTGACAGGACTGCTGTGTTCAATCAGAGCTCATTAGAAAAGTCAGTGAGGTGTTCAGAGTATGCACATATTGACTTTGATCCTGCAGGATTTATATACCTGTCTATGTTTGTATGTGTGATCATAACACATATCTGTCTCTTGTTTCCAGCCTCTTAAATATATATTAATTGCTTCTTGTATATCACATGCAGTATGTTTGGGTTTGGGACTGACGAAAACAAGACTTCTTACAGGGGTCGGCACTCGCGACACTTTAAGCCCTCCACTCTGGCTGCCTTGAGCTTAGACAAAAATAAGAAGGAAATAAAATAAAAGTATTTGTAGGATTATTTATATTTTGTTGCACGGTTGAAAATGTTTCGTATCTTTGAGGTGATACTGTGACACATAAAAAAAAAACGGTTTTAATTAGGTCAACTAAAATATGCGTCACATCCTGCTACGGTCCCGCACCAGCGCCTTTTCTTGCAGGCGAATAACCTGACCCCCGGCTCGATGATGCGAACTATGGATAAAGCAAAGAAAATAAAAGTATCTGAGGAACACAGAGGGTTTAATTGTGCGTGGAAAGAGTTATCTGCTTTCACAGCAAACGATGCTGGTTTACCGGTATGTTTGATATGTGGAGGAGAAGTTGTCAAAGGTCCTGCAAGCCTTTACGTATCGAGGAAAAACACGGAAGAGGAAGACGGCTGACGATCTTCAGTCATACACTGAACAAAAATATAAACGCAACACTTTGTTTTTGCTCCCATTTTTCATGAGATGAACTCAAAGATCTAAAACATTTTCTATAAACACAAAATAACCATTTCTCTCAAATATTGTTCACAAATCTGAAAAAATCTGTGATAGTGAGCACTTCTCCTTTGCCGAGATAATCCATCCCACCTCACAGGTGTGGCATATCAAGATGCTGATTAGACAGCATGATTATTGCACAGGTGTGCCTTAGGCTGGCCACAATAAAAGGCCACTCTGAAACGTGCAGTTTTGCTTTATTGGGGGGGTCTGGGGGGGGTCCGAAAACCAGTCAGTATCTGGTGTGAGGGGTAGGATTAGGGTTAGGGTAATGTTGTGAATCGAGTGGCCTGTGTTCGTCGTCCATAACATACGCCTGCCCATACCATAACCCCACCACCACCATGGGCCACTCAATTCACAACATTACCCTACCCCTAACCCTAATCCTACCCCTAACCCTAATCCTACCCCTCACACCAGATACTGACTGGTTTTCCGACCCCCCCAGACCCCCCCCAATAAAGCAAAACTGCACGTTTCAGGAGTGGCCTTTTATTGTGGCCAGCCTAAGGCACCACCCTGTGCAATAATCATGCTGTCTAATCAGCATCTTGATATGCCCACACCTGTGAGGTGGGATGGATTATATTCTTTTTCTTCAAATGTGCCGAGGACTCCCCAAGTGCTGTGTTTAATTTATTTTAAAGTAGGCCTGTGTGTTTTTATATTAGAGGTAAACAGTTTTCTATAATGTAATAAATAATAAATGCCAAAAAACTGTAGTTTTTGGTCTTTGATATAACAATATATACAACTTTTATAAGCTATCAAGCTATCAAATATGTTTTGCGGCTCAAGACAAAATTAAATTGGTGGAAAAGGGGGCAAAATGGCTCTTTTGGTCAAAAAGGTCATTCACCTTGGAGTTTGTAAACTGGAAGGACCATTTTTCACTATTTTTGTCATCACATTAAGACCAAGTTATTCATTATTGAATCTATAATGTATTACTTTCTAATTAAAGTAATTCTTAGTTGCAGCCTCAGTGCAAACACCAATATCAGAAATGTGTTTTTTTTTTACCTCCGATATAAATAAGTCCTCCTTTTCTCTGTTTCAAACCAAATGTGTTTTGGTGTTAGACAAAACAAGAGATTGCAAGATGGAACGTGTTGATGACTATTTTCTGACATAAATAATTGCCACATAAATTGCTAAACAATGTTCATTGTAGTTGCATAGATAATAAGAAATGCAAATAAGGTGGAACAGCATCTCTCCATGTTTTACAGACAATTTGCGAGCAGATGACTTTTTCATATGTGTTTTTTCTGTGTTTGTGAGGAGAAAAAGTTGAATAATGTGTGTTCGAAATACATTTTTTGTATGTCATTTATTGTTTAACAGATAGATTACAGATATACATGCAGGATGTATACAACTGTTTTGTTTTTAAGTGTGATTTAAAACACATATCCTCCTCTCGTTTCAGAATCCAGAAGGAGTTAGCAAGAGATCACTCTGGACCCGCCGCCAAACTGCAGGTAGGAGCCTGTAGATGTGATTCAAAGCACTTGGTTGTGAATGGAGGAGTCACGTGATTATCCTGTTGTTTGCTCGGACTGCAGCGTAATGAATGGACCGTGTTTAGCAGGCATGGATCTCACGTCCTGAATAAATAAATGTGTGTGCCAGTGACCTGATTGGCAGCGAGGATCTCTGTAGCAACAGTGTTGTGTTTGCTCACTCTCCCTGAGGCTGGGAACTCTGCTGCGGCCTCCACTGGTCCCCTCGGTGAAAGACAGTAATAAGCTCCTGCCACTCAACATCTGAGTCACAGCGCTCATTGTGTGGGGGATTTCGTTGAGTCAGCGCTTGGGATTCTTCTCAAATGATGGCTTTTTGGGCGAAGGCGGAGGTGTGGGCAGCGAGTCGCTGAAGTCAAGGCATTTCCTGAGAAAGCAGAGGAACTCAGTGATGCATGGACGCTCTTAGGGTTTGGAGGGAACTGTTGGCCACAGCTGCCCGGGGGTTAGTCACTCCAAGTTTTTTTTGCCAGAAGCAAAAGTAAGGAAGCACTAATCCAATGTTTTCAATAGCAATCCTAATAATAATCCCAAACTCAGTGGTCTTTTTCCCTTAAAAAAGTCTAATGGCGCATTTCCACTGCAGGCACGGTTTAAGCGTGCCGTGCCAAACACGGCCAGTTTGTTTTTGCTTTTCCACTAGGGGGTAGTTCCGGCTCAGGGCCTACTTTTTTCACCTTTTTTCTAGCCCTCCAAAATCGAGGTGCTTACCGGGCCAACAACCGGTCTGAATATGCTAAACTAGGGACGTAAAACACTCGACTGCTGATTGGTCAGAGAGACTCGCTGGCAAGGGGGCTACACTTACAACAAAATGAACATATTTGACCGTGATTTAATTGTAATACACGTTTCAAAATGATGCCGAAGTAAGTAACAACATACTGATACTGGTTAGTAAAAACCAATGAATTAATGCTTTGACAAGTCTGCAGACAGACGGCAGGCGAAAACCCCTTTAAAATTGCGTGTTTTCTAAATGTAGCTTGGCTAAGCTAACGCAGTATATGCTCCGATCGTCCACCTCACAACAACGGCCTACAGACATAAACAAAGCAGCGCGACTATTATTCGCCATGACACAGGCAAGTCTGTGGTTTGTACTTGTTTAACTTTTGTCTAGTTCTGAACAGATATGAGGAGCTGTGAGCTCAGAGTGCTAACAGCTAACGGCTGACGTTTTGGTTTTGTGGTTCTCATTGAAGACTGACGTCACGGCTCCGCCTACCACTGCGTACTATAGTTACTGCCCCAGCTACTAAACTGTAATGGAAACGCAGCATAAAGTGAGCCTGGCCTACCAGGCCTAACTATACCGTACTAAGCCGTGCGAGGCCCTGCCAGTGAAATGCGCCATTAGTTGTATCTCAATTCCCATACGTCTGTCCTTACATGTGCTATTTTGAGTGCAGGAGATGTTTTGGACCTGTCGGCAACTGTAGTAAGGTCCACATAAAAAAATATTTCTAGTTAATATTACCTTAAGGATGATGGCAACAATTGAAAGCTTCATTTTTTGGATGATTTTAAGAAAATATCTCTCAGGGGAACCGCTGCATCCATTGTTTTCTCACGGATTATCTGAAGATTTTCCGGTTTTCTTTATTCTTTGACGGATGCTTGATGTTCAGCACCTGCTGGCTCACTGTGTTAAAAAAAAAGAAAAGCTGTTATCCTTAAAGTTCAAATATGCAGACAGAAATGCAGCCTCTCACCTGTCACAGTACACATTCTCTTGCACGCTGCCTGCAGGTTTAATGCACCACGGTGTTTTATATCAAGGTATCTGTCACAGTGGGAGATATCTCCTCGGCACGTCGCAATCTGTTTGTCGGCTCTCCGGTCTCAAAGCAGAGGCTAATCTGGCTGAAGGATACCATTATGTCTCCTCACAAAGGGCCGAAAAGGGAGACATTTCATGGGCTGACGTTTGAATAGAAAATGACATTTCTGTGCAAAGAAAATGCACGCTTCCCTTGAAGAGTGAAAGGAGGAGGAGAGACGAGTAGATGGAGCGGTCGGGAGCCCTCAGTCGTATGTGGAACATTTGAGTGTATTTCAGCGGCAGGTAGAGATACTTGAAATGTAGATTCCTGTATTCAGAAACCCCTCGGGGTTTTTCACACTAACAGCTCCCCATTCCCACACACTGGTGTTTGATTTACACAGGGGGCGGGGGGGTTACGCTCAAAATGTATTCCTTTACATCAGGGGTGTCAAACTCAAGGCCCGGCCCGCCACTTCATTTTATGTGGCCCCGCAGGAGCTTGCAAAGAATATAATACGTTTTTTATAATGTTACATGCCGCTTTACAGGAGAACGTTGCCCATAAACTACATGTCCCACAATGCATCTCATTTTGTGACATGCGCACTGAAGAGACTTGCAATTATTTTCCCTAGACTTCTGCTTTCAGACGTAGTTAATTATGAAGTTATTACCCTATCTGATAATCATCCAATGCAGAGGAAATAGTGTAAAATAATACATTATTTTATATATTATGTATATTTATATAGTCTTAAAGTTGCCTCCGGCCCTTTGGGTGCAACCATAATTCTAATGTGGCCCGCGATGAAATTGAGTTTGACACCCCTGCTTTACACGGTGTAGTTACCTGTACATTTTTTTAATCAAATCTGACTATCAAAATATAAATGTAACCTAATTACTTTCTGTTATAAAGGGATTTTAACCTTTGCCGACCATTTACATGCACAGAAAACCAATTAGAAACAAACCACATGGAAAGAAAATCTAAGCAGGAAAACCCCAAAAAGCACGATACAGTCGGACCTCTTTAAGACAAATATGCCTTTCATGAAGCTATATTCAGGCAGCATCCTATGAAGTCTTCAGAGCCCTTGTTCACCTGCTAATTGATCTGACAGCATTAATAAAAGACATCAGATGTGAGGGGTTATGAAGGGACGGCTGTGATGCCTCTCATTACCCCACAAGCTTTTATCTTTTTTCTCCCCGCTCTAAAATAAAAGAGCAGCTCACGATCACACCTCCATGCATTCCCCTCTCGGGTTACAGGACGTAATTCCTCCTGGGAATGAAATTGAAACACCTTTGCCTCGTTTGAGAGATCATTTAAAAGGATTTTTGTTGGAGCCGTACATGAGGAATATTTTCATCCTTCTGTTTAATCATCTTGTCACCATGCCAGAGAGTAATTAATTGAATGTGACAAGCACTCAGGAAAAGGTATGTAAATAGCCCCCCCCCCCCCCCCACACACACACCCGACACATATATTAGCCCGCTGTGTGCTCGGCCTTCCTGGATCGGTGTTTCTGTGTTGTGTTTTCCGTAATTACCATATCCTTTCATGATAGTCCCTGGCGGGGCGTTTTGATAAGAATCCCCCATCGGCGGAGGGGAAACAATGTGAAGGGGGAATTGGCCATGCTCTCTTGCTCTTTTTCTCTCTCCTTCTTAATCCCAGCAGGACTCTGTGTGTGTCAGAGGGATATCAGCGGAGATCTTAGGAATAATGAAGCAATAAGGCACGAGAAAGTGTCGCTGCAGAATGATCTCCTGAATGAGAGGAACGGAAATCCATCCGTGACTATCAGCTTGTAGAGATGATTGACTCGGCTTTTATTGTCCGACAGGAAGAAAAAAGGGGTTTTGGTTTCTCAAAGGATGGTGTCCAAAACTGTATTGTGAAATGTTGTAATATAAGGGCTTTAACTGATGTAAGCCCACGGAAATGATTAATCTACATTTTGGTGCAGATTCTACTTTGGTAGCGCCAAACAAAAGACTCCTTTACACATTTTATTAATGAGGCCCTATTCTGCTTTTTTGGGTGTTCCTTTTCCTATACACATTTTTTTTTTGGTGGTCTAATGCAGGGGGGTTCCCAACCTGGGGGGCGCCAAATGATCGCAGGGGGGGCGCCAGGCCTCAGATGATTTGGAGGCCAAATATCATATTTAGACTTTGTTTTTTTTTACATATCATTGTAACGCAATACATGATTGTCACTAAAAGCCTTGTCTCTACATTACAATAAAAGATAATTGATTCATTAATTTTAATACAAATTGAAGTTAGTATTAAAGGCATAAAAATACAGACAATGTATAATTCTTTCTTTAATAGAAATGTGTCTTTCTGCCCGTAAAGTTTCCAAACCAGGCCTTTTCTGGATAAGCGCATTTTTTAAAACATAGTCATTGTCCATGCCGGTTTCAGTTGGATTATTTGTCAGTTGCTCCGATCAGATCGGTCTCCTCCATCTTGATTATTTACGGACTTTTGATTCTACATAAACACATCGGCAAAATCCGGCTTACTTTGAGCATGTGTTTTAAACAGGTTAATCCCTTTGTGAATTGTTTTCCACTTGCGCCGTCCTTTTAATTTCTTCATTCAGCGGGGAATCCAAATGAATTAATCTGAGTCCAATACCATCAAAGTCACTCAATATTGCTCCTAATTACGACTTTCATCCTCCTTTAAACAAATACTTCACATTCATTCCAGTTTGTGACAGTAGTCTGTGTGCATTTTTGAGAATTTGAAAAATTGTTGTGCTGTATGTGTGATGTGTGTGATGTGTGTGTGTGTGATGTGTGTAGGTGTGTGTGTGTGTGGTGTGTGCTGTTTTGTGAGTGGTGTGTGTGTGTGTGTGTGTGTGTGTGTGTGTGTGTGGTGTGTGTTGGTGTGTGGCATGGTGGTGTGTGTGTGCGTGCGTGTGTGTGTGTGTGTGTGTGTGTGTGGTGTGTGTTGTGTGTGTGTGTGATGTGCTGTGTGTGTGTGTGTGTGGTTAGTTGTGTGTGGTGTGTGTGTGTGTGCTGTGTGTGTGTGTGTGTGTGCGTGCGTGTGTGTGCTGTGTGTCTGGTGTGTGTTGTGGTGTGTTGTAGTGTGTGTGTGTGTGTGTGTTGTGGTGTGTGTTGAGGTGTGTGTTGTGGTGTGTGTGTTGTGTGTGTGCCCCTGGTCT